CAGGCTTTATTGACAACAGGGAGGAAAAAATAACCTTTGCTACCATCTGATTACCTTATTCCAATGAAAATCCACAAACACATTATTGACTGTAACTGAGGGTGAAACACAAAGCTAACATGGCCAAATATTTGCTGCCACGTTACACAAGCCTCAAATATTTATCATTACACTTTTACTCCTCTGTGCTCTCAAAATGTCAGCAAAGATGGCATTCAGACTCCAACAGGCTGCCCTCTGAAGAACACTGTGATTTCATTTCTGATATATACAGCAGAAATGCCAAAGAACTGCTGTGGCCCAGATCAAAACAACTGAAAGTAAACGTGCAACGGGTGATTGTTTAATGACAGAAGACACGCATGTAAACAGGAGATGTAGTAGTGATGGACAGTCTTTGGAGGTTAGTGCCTTTTATAAAAGCGTGTTCTACACTAAACACCTTCAGCGCTACTGTTATAGCATAACCAGGTGTGAGTGGGCATGCTTCACCTCACAGGTACACACTGAATAGTTGGGAGTGAGAGAACCACTTATGTTATAAAACGGCTGCTATACCTCACTCTGTGCAGGTGACCTTCATCTACAATCACCTACAGTAATGAGAGGCTATTGTAGAGCCAGAATGTACTTAATAAAAAAGATCGAAAGTGAAAACTTTGATCCAATAAGAACGAGTAAAAAAAAAGATGACCAGTGTTGGGTAAGTTACTTTAAAATAGTAACTTAGTTACATTACTAGTTACTTCTCTCAAAAGTAACTCAGTTACTTCAAGTTACTCGTTACTTTCAAAGTAACTAGTTACTAGGGAAAGTAACTTTGGTTTTACTCAGAATTCTCTTGTTAATGTGTTGCTTCCATAACTTTGCCAGTCTTCTAGCTTGCTTACTTGCCACAAGTGCACTGTGCCACCTACCAATAGAAAGGAAAAGATAATGTGCATATTTCCACGAGAGAAATCCCACGCCTGGACCGTCATTGACTGCTGCCATGATTCTAGCCTACGTCACAGCGTCATGTGCGCCTTTTACATCCAACACAAAAACTGCAGTCGTGGTGCTTTCGATTGTACTCAGAACTCGGAAATTCTGCCTTCTGAATAGGAAGATGTAGGTAACACCAGACTGCAGATGAGCTGCATACAGGGCTGGACTGGAAGAAAATCGTCCCGGGCATTTTGACTAGAGACCGGCCCACCATTATAGGAAAAATCATAAAGCCTTTGAATGAAAATAAACACTGTTGTGACAGTGATGTACACTGTTTCTGATGGTATATATGCATCAATCTATCAATCGTTTGTTGTAAGATTCAGATAATTATTTTTTAAAAGCTAGACATTTTAAATGAGAATAAGAAAGAAAAGTATTTCTTTGTGCCCCCCTTCCCTGTTAATGCCCTACCTGCCCCCTGGCAACACTTTGCTAGACCCGCCCCTGCACAGTTACCAGCTGTCAGCTACCTAAAAAAGGATCCTGGTGTTATTTGTCTCTCAGAAACAGTTCATAACTTCCCTTCAACTCATTCATGTCACCTAAAAGGTAAACCTGTTTCTCCATCACCTGTTCAGCTCTGATGATTCAGTAAGGACATCTCCTGGTTTCATCTTCATGTTTCCCTCTCACCACATATCCAAACCATATCATGACCAGCAGCTTTACAGCTGTGGCTCCAGCAAACATCAGCTGATACTAGAAATTAATATTAAATAAATTCTAACAACAGCTGATCAAGCTTAAACGTGCTGCTGTTGTTTAGCGCGACATCCGCTGGTTTCCTCTTTCTGGCGCAAAGTGAGCGATAAACAAACAAGAGAGACGATCAGCTGATCATTGATCAGTTTCATGATTGAAGTAGAAACGGGAGAGGGAGGGGGGAGAATGAAAGAAGAAGAGGCAGCTGTGCAGCGAAAACACAGAATAACTCCAGCTTTGTGCTCTTTTTCATTGTAGCTGAATTACGGGACAAACTGTTCCTTTTCACCTCAATAAGAACGGAATATTTTCTCTGAATACCAGACGGGACGGTTGGCAACTCTAATAACTTATGAACAAAATAAAGTTCAACATCATTAACTTCATAGCACCACCCAGCTGTATAGAAACTCCGTCATGCTAGCTAGCACGCAGTACGGAAAAAGTCAGAATAACGAAAATAAACTCCACCTAAACTTGGTTCATATCTGACCCAGAGAGACTGCAGGTCATAACTTCTTACCTGAAGTTCAGTTCACACTTGGACCGGCGGCCGCCTCGGGTCTCTTTTCCTTCTGCGTCCCTTTTCCTTCATCCACCTGCTGCCTCCACCACTTGCTAATGTTACTGAATCTGTGGAAGCTCCGCGAAGTAACGAGTAACGAGCCTATCTAAATCCCAGTAACGAGTAACGCGTTCCTGATTTTGGCATAATAACTAGTTACCGTGCTCGTTACCACAATAATAACGTAGTTACTGTAACGCGTTACTTAATAACGCGTTAGTCTGAAGATGACGCACAGCCAGCAATTCTCCAGTTTTGAATGGAAGCTTTGATGTAAATATCTCCTTCTTGGCTTCGTTTGAAAAAGAAGTTTCAGTTCATCTTGTGCGTGCCCGGTTAACAAAGAAGGCCTTTCAGGCTAACGTACTCAGTCTTTCCACTTATTTTGTGATGTGGCACCATTAAAGAAACGCTGATAGATCCTCTGTTCCAATGGTTTTTTTGTAGATTTGCTTCGATATCACCTTGTATATTATTTTGTACTATAAATAACAATTGTAATTGAATTTTGTTATTATTTTCATCACTATTTTGATGGCACAATACAGGTGGGAAATTGAGCCAGCTATCTAGCACAAAGTCCACGCAAGGTTTAACTGCGAGAAACAGACATCACATAAAACTAAGTCACCCACATCACTGGGTTTGTTTTCTTTTAACCCCTTATGCATTTTGTTCCGCCTTAATGTCACTGGAGATTATGTTGGAATTACAATCTTAACTCATGGTGAAGCTCCACGTAATTGCCATTTTAACCAGTACCCTCACACCCAGAAGAAGAAGCAGTGGTGGATGCTAGATTTGAATTTCATGTAAATTACACATTATTTCTGTCTGATCACGTGTTGCATATGAGTTTCTTCTGTCACAATACATGACGCAGACCTACATTTTGCCATTTGGCGTGCAACTACTGTAAAAAAGCTGATTGGTTCAGCTGGAACAAGAGAATCGTTGCTTTGGAGCGCTTTTAAAAAAAATCATAATATGACATTTTGAGTAATTTAACATGTTTAGAACCAATTATTTGCTATCAAACAACCTAAAGGAAACACACAAAAAAAGACAACCCACATCTGCTTCTTAATCAGTTTCCTCTACTTATTTAAAATATCAGATTAGCTCGGGACTGGAGCCGATCACACAAAGAAATTTAATGGCTACAGGACATTGGCAGTGTGTTTTGATCATTCTTAGTTAAAATTCTTAGTTAATATTTCTTTTGTTCATCATCTTCAGTATTTCCTTCAATATCATCTGTTTAAAAAGGTCATGACTGAAGCTTTTATGTTTCCTTAGTGATCCTAATCATTGTTTACTATAACATCCTTTAATGTCATATTTAAAAAAATATCATAAGTCAACATTTAAAGTGTAGTATCATTAGGTTTTCTCCACTTCATGTTAGCTAGCACACAATGAGTCACTGGTTTTAGTTTGATATGCTGTAATCACGTGCACTACTCAATAAACCAGTACTATGCTAATAAAAAAAAGGAGCTGAGATTTGATGTTCCTGCTCTGTACTCCAGCACCCTGACAGGGCATTAATCAGCTCAAACAGGCTTAAAATTGAATTAACACTGACATATAATATTTAGGGAAGGTTTAAAAAAAAATCCTGTCTTAGTGAGAACAACTACACTTGCTGGCAGCAGCAAAATATAAATCTGTTAATCCTCACAATCTTTTTAATTTAATCTTTTTAATTGAACCGTCTGCAACAGGCGCGCAACAGTCTTTAAGTGCTCTTTGTAATCACTGATTATCACAATAATTCTGTTATTGTGTTACATAAATAGAGGATTAGCTGGATAATCATTATAATAAACACAAACACACATTATGCAACACTTAATTCCAAAATAGTTGGGGCACCGTGTAAAATGTAAATGGCAACAAAATGCAATGATTTGGAAACCTCCTGAGAGCAAATTTTAATCACAATCGAAAACATGGTTAAAGTGAGACATTTTACTATTTCATACATAATTTCAGCTCATTTTGAATTTGGCAGTAATATATCCCAACAGGGTTCACTGTGGCATCCATAAATGCAGGTTAAACCTTTATTGTGCAGACAAGCAGCCAAAGGTGAACACAATCCAGAAATGCTGTTGTCTTCTCTAGAAAACCATTCTGTCATTAGTTATTTTTATGTTTTTACACTTTTTTAAATTCTGAAAACATGGATGAAAAGAGACCATCTGGCTTGTTCTCAGGCAACAGTCCCTATGACATTTGCAGTTTACAAAAGGGCCATCAGTGCTAAAAGGTATATAACGGCTTTAGAGGAAAATATCCTCCATAACGTCTTTTTCCAGGGAAGGCTGTGTGCGTTTAAGCTAGACAAAGCTAAACAAAAGTGCCTGCTGCAGCTATCGTGGCACGGCTTGGCAGCAGAAGACTCCAGATTCGGAGCATCATGATACAAATAATACGACAAAGAAGACACGGGACTGTTTAGCAGCAAGAATCCTCTATCAAACAAGAGTGGACCAACATTCATCTCCAAAACTCCAGCAGCTGGTCTCCACAGCTCCCAGATGTTTACCGACTGAGGGGAGATGCTTAAAATGGCACATCTTCTTAATTTAAACACTGACTGTTTTATATGTTGTACTGTGGACAACATATAAGATTCGGCTTTTATTTACATTTTTTACAGCGTCCCAACTTTTGTGGAATTGGGGAAATATTTAACCAAATAACCATATTTTTTCCTTTCGAACTTACTCACCAGGCTGTACACTCTCACACTCTTGCGTGTTACACTTTCGGGTGCTCTCAGGCGGTGGCTCGTGGTGACATTGAGCTTGATCAACTTCTCCATCTGTCTCAGCCCTGGTGTCAACACATTTAATAAGCCGATGCTGCACTCCAACTCCGCAAGAAGTTGAACACTGCAAGAAGAGAGGGAAACAATTTTAATGTGTTTTAAAGGCAAGTAAAACAACGTTTATCTTGTACAATAATATCAGTGTTCCCCAAACTCTTCTCCGAGTTTATGATTGACAATTAAGGGCCACATTTCAACTGACACCAGTTAGAATATTACAAGACGTGCAGAACTGCTTCAGCTGTCAGTTAAGAGGACAGTATATTTTTGACATTCTCAATCTAAAAGGTGAATCTGAGAGGCTACACTGCCTCAGCGCTCCTGATTGGCCCCGATTCACTGATTCTGACCTTACTGATTCTCCCTAAACTCTACTCAAACACTTGCGCTCATGTGGGTGTCTCATGAAATCCCCTGAAAGATTCTGGTCGGGTGACCAGGTTACATTGGCAATACACTGTGAATAGTCTGCAATGAACTCTTTTATAGGATTGCAATTTTTGTTTAAGGATTTCTACTTCAGGAAAAAAAACAAAAAACACTGTATGAAATGAAGTATGAAATATCCATGATAGCAGGATGGACATCAAATTATTTTGTAGCCTTCTATGCAAGGTAATCATGATCCTTTCGTACCTCAAGCAATAATGCTTCATCAACGACAGGGATGTTCTCGTGATTTTGGTTTTTAAATGCAATCAACAATGCCTTCGTAGTACCTGTCCCCATGATCCGGTGAGCCACTGAGCACAAGGATGGCTATTACATGACTGGATGGTGCTGGGCTCGTGGTCTCTGTCGCATTGATCCTCCTCTGGACAGGTGACGATACGCTGCTGCTGACCTCCTCCGCACACCTCAGAGCACTGAACAACCCAGAGCACAACAGCAAACACATGGAGGCTGTAAATCTCAGTGTTTAGGTTGACTGATTGATTCTATGGATTTCAGACATTAAACAAATCCAAGGGGATGTTGAAAAATCCACAAAACACAGCACCGAATTTTAAAAAAAGAACAGTAATCCCCCCCATCAAAAACACCCGAGTACAACAAAAATAATTTGATGGCTTAAGTAAAAATTGAAAATGGATTCCATAAATACGCCACAGCCTGACACCTATAAGGCTCTTTGGTTTTCAGCATCTAGATGTGTAACGACAGCCTTTCATAGCATTGTTAAAAGAAAATAAAACATCACGGCTGTGTTACTGGCACAACACACCTACACCAAATCATGACAGCCATGTGGACGCACCTCTATTATCTGTCAACTATATTGAGGAGCATGCCCATATTGTACAAGTAATAGAAGCTCTGCTCTTATACTTTGAAGTGTAAAGCCTTACAGCCTTGACTGAGATGACTGCAAAGCTTAGACGCAAGAAGAAATTTAAATTCAACAAGGAGTTACTACAGATGACATTTAATGCCCTTTTTTCCCTCTAAACTTTCCAAGAAGCTAATTTTTTAAAATTGATTTGATAAAAATTTAATTGTGGAGGCTTCTTCGACATTGATAATCCATTAACTGTGACCATTTTTGTTACGTAAAGATTATCAGGTAAACCACGTAAAAGAACAAAGTCTTTGTCTTTAACCCTGCAGCCAAAGTCCTATTCTTGAGTGCAGGCAATTATAGACAAACACAGTGTGTCTACCAGCTGACTCTTTCAGATTTTTTCTTTTTTCCACTACAATGATAAAATCTAATGTTGCATTGCCTTCAATTTTATTGGATTGAGACATTTTATCTGTGTATACAGAACTGCTTTTCATCACAAAGTCACTAACCCTTTGTTTTATATTACTGACCTGACCCCAGGAGGAGGTGTACCATTCAAGACATGGCTGAAGGTTACAGGGCATCGTTGTTTGGGGCCTGGAGGACATGGCTCGGCAGTGGAAAGGTCGAAGGGGTCTTTGGTCCCTCAGGTCAAAGCACTGAACCTCCCGCAGTTTAATGCCGCCTTCACAATTCTTGGAGCACTGTGAAAACACATGGCCCAACAATTAGAGACAGAGTAGTCTTCTGGCACATGCGAATTTGACCACGTGTTTTTTGTACCAGCAGACTTGCTGCAGTTTCTCTCCATTTAAAGGCCTTTAAGCCAAACTGTTCTTTTCCACTTTTTGTTCATCTTTTTTCTGTTGTGCCTGAAAGAGCACATGCCAGTAAGCAGTAACTATGTGTTGTGTTGAGCTTACCAGTAATAGTTTTGTGTAACAGTTGAGCGTGTTAGCCCATTTTCAATGTAATGTTAGCCTTGAGCTAACTGCTAGATACCTGGGGCAAATATTCAGTAAAGTTTTCGGGATATGTTTTGTGTTTAGGTGAGATCTGCATGAAGTTTAATGACTCAGTGTTTGATATTGTAAAAGCAAGTCAATGACATCATAAATATAACGTGTTGTTTTTTTCTTTCTGTATCACAGTGCTTCTGACAGTAAACACTTAAAACGTACCAGCTGACTCCTGGATGCGGACTTGTTGTCAGAAATCAGCTTCACACCTTAGTGAAGGCAGAAAAGGCACAACTTCACTTACTTCCAAGGTCTGCAAAGAGCAGAAAGTCTAAAGAGGATGAATCATCAGCAACACTTTCAGTATAAAGGGCAGCTTTATTGTCTTGCTCTTTATTAGCTTGTAGCCTTCATTAGGGTAACCCATGAATATAAAGAAGCTTATTTGCAATGTGATTTTAATGTGTTTTTTCCACCCCAGAAAGCTGGTATCTAGTCAGGTTAGTCAATGGATGGCTTTAAAAATGGATTACCAGCAATTCTTGTTGCCTTTAATTTAGTATAACTTAAACCAGATGATCAGAAGTGTATTAATCCATGAAATCTTTAAACAAGCACAACTTTCTTCTCATTGCCCAACCTGTCCAAAAAGGTACAACTTTAACCTATCACTCTCAGTTTTACACAGAGAGCTGGAAACAAGAAGATTTAACACAAACAAAATGATGGTTTTCTTCTGCCTTTTGTACCATTTCCATATGGTGCTCGTTTTCTTACCCAAATCTGCGTTTACAGAACTACACAACTCGATTTCTTCCGTTGTATGGAACAGGTCCATTGCAAAAATATTTTCACATCACTCGTTTCTCTAGTGCTGGTTTAGCTTATTGGGTTGGACAGACGACCCATAAGTATACATGCATTGGTCTTTCTTCTGTCTTCTCTCTTCTACCCCATTACAACAGAGTCAAACTGTCTGTGTATGTATTATTGTAGGGTCTACCTTACAATATAAAGTGCCTTGAGGCGACTGTTGTTGTGATTTGGCGAAATATAAATACAATTGAATTGAATTGGGCACAGAAACAATGGTCTAGCTCTTTTTTAAGAAATCTTTTTATAAAATGAACACTCGTGTTTACTTGAGGCAGATTTATTTATGAATTGTTTTTTTATAAATATTTTATAAATTAGTAGTTTTCTTAGTAAGCATTTCAGGCTCCAATATCTAACAGCCAGTAATGATATAGATGAAAAACTTGGTTTACTTCTATGAAAAGGTAATATGTCTAAAGTCTGCACTAAGATTGAGAGTATGAATCCATCCTCATGGGGAAAAACAAAGGTGCCATGGCAACAGGATCTAACACTGACCTCCCCGGGGAATGTTTTCATATTTCTCTTTGCATTAAACAAAGTCTGATTCAGTTTAAATTGGTACATCATTTGCACTGCTCAACGGTGAAACTTGTAAAAAAACATATCCTAATGTTACCCCAGCATGTTTACATTGCCACGAAGCTCCAGCTACTGTAGCTCATATGTTTTGGGACTTTGGAATTTTTGAAGATTTTCTTTCAAAGCCCTGTCATTTTTGTGCAGAAAAACAATAACACTGTCCGTACATCTTCATTTTCAAGGTCTCTTTTTTTAGAGCTCATGGTTCCTGCAGCACAACCAAAAACAATCGCTTTTGCATCTTTATTGGCCTGAAAACATTTTCTCTCTGACAAACCTCCATCTTTCAACATGTGGATGAAAGAAACGCTTTCTGTGACTTTTCATTGAATGTGTAAAAAAAGAAAAGGCGGAAAATCACAATGCAATGATGTTTATTCCTTCCATAAATGTATACTAGCTTTATCTTATTCATATCCACCTCGATGTATTATATCAAAGCTGTTTTCTTTTTCTTTCCATCGTGTATCTGTAATCCCAGGGGGTGGGGAACATTGCATCGGTTTGTTTGTTTGTTATTGAAAAACTATAAAATACGGCTGCAAAAAAATAAGTCTACAGCCACGTCAGAGTCTGCATGAGGCTGAGTAAACACGACAGTGAGCTCAATGCAAACAAAACATCAAAATGCCAACATGCCCACATTTATTACACCATGCATAATGTTAGCTGTTGTCCAACTTTGAACTAGAATATCAGACACAAAGCTTTGACTTGCAAATCCAGTCGGAGATATTAGAGTTCAGTCTAGACCAAAGTCGTAGACAAATTACCGTTGCCTAAAATCCTGCCGTAATAAAAAATAGTAAATAGAAAAGTCTACCTTATTATAATTTTATTTATTTAACTTTTGATTTGTATATGATATATACATATATATGATATATAAAACAAGTAGTCTCACCTTACTCCATTCCCCAATTTTCCATGTAGAGCATGGGCGCAGGTAACACCTCTGGGCAGGTGCGGGCCTCTTTGCGGGATCACAGTCCGACTGTGATCCAGTACTGCAAGTCAAAGTTCTCCAGATAGCACCGAGTCCACAGGTGGTGGAGCACTGCTCGTAAACATAATAACTCATATTAGAATCATTTTGTGCTGCACAATTTGAGGCTGGATGCATAAAGAAAACCAGCACGCACAAGAAAAGCTTGTGGATAAGAACACATTTGAAATTTAGAGATGTTTTCGGTATTAAAGCAGTTTATTATGTACGTTGATGCTTGCTGTGTTAACCCTAGCTCAAATCTTGTCCCTAAAGAATGAAGATAATGCTTTTATTTTGTGTTTTTTATTTGCCTGGAAAATAAAAGCAGGTGTAATGTGTAAATTATTTCATACGTACAGCACTCCAGTTGCCAGCAATCCAGTAGGCAGCTGCAGTGTTTTGTGTGTGGACGTAAGTTTGGACAGATGTTAGGACAGCTGGAACGGTTGGCAAAAAGGCCACAGCAGGTGTGGGCAACTCCGAGTCTTGTGCTGATGTTGTGCTGTGTTGAGGAGTGGCTCCTGAGTTTGTTGAAACCTGGTATGAAGAGCCAGGATCACTGTTAATGCCGCTCCTCACCACGGGTGGAAAGGCTATTTCGTTGTAGTCATAATTCACTACATCAAACAACGGAGCTTGAGATGTGGGATACGTTCCAGTTGTTTTAGTGAACTCTGGCTTTGACGGAATCGGTTTCATCGTATGCGTTGGGAAATCAGCTGGAGAAAACTGAGTAGGAGGTATGATTGCTGTTCCAGTTAATGATGTGGAGGCCTCTTGGTTACCTGAGATGAGCAAAGAGGAAACAGGGGGAGGAATGGATTTGTCAGAGGCAGGAAGTGAGGTTGTGCTGAGGTCTCTGTCGGTATCCCGTGAATAATTCTCGGTAGTGGCATATAATGTATCAAAATTAGTCTGATCCGTGTTGACATCATCCATTGTGAAGGCATTTGAAAATAATGTTGACCCACTGGCTTGAGGTATTTCTGCAGTATTTTCATCCAGAGGAAATTCAGTCTTAATCTGAATTGTAGTTTCTGATGTGGGGGGACCTGAAGGTTCTGGACTCTCGACATTATCTTGGTCTGCAGAGATATAGTCGTAATTATCATATTCCTTTGTTTCCTGAGCCCCTTCAACAGTAGAGTCAGGAGTATTGATAGCTGTTTGTTGTCTCGGAGTAGAAACAGTCTGCTTTGGAGTCATAGTGACATCCTCAGTGTGATTTTCCTCCTCACTGAAGCTGTCATAGTTATTTTCAGCCTCCTCTGCATATTGCCCCCATTTCACATCCTGTAAAGGCTGCTTTGTAGTGGAACCCAGACTAGGCGCTGCACTAATGTTTTCAGGCAGCCACAGAATGCCATGCTTCTCTGCCGCTGGTTTTGATTGCTGAGTTGTAGACAGTAGTGGAGAGTGAGTGGTCGACACAGGCAGAAGAAAATCCTCAGAAAGATAGTCATCCAAGTTTTCAGAATTTGTTTGCAAAACCTCTTTTGCCGCTGCATTTTTACTGTCCTTTGTTACGTTCACTTTTGTGTTCTGAGGATTTTCTGTTTCCAAAGTGTAGGCAGTGGGCTTTGGAACGGCTGAAGTAGCTGTGGGAGTGGCTGCAATTTCTATGTGAGCATCTTCTTTCACACTGTGGGTTGGCTCGACCTCCTGCGAAGCACTCAAACCGTGACTGACTGAAATGTTTCCATTGCTCTCAAAGTCATCTGACAAGTCTTCATGGAAGTTGATAAAGTTATAGTCATAGTAAAAATCATCCACCGGGACATAGTTGTCCTGAGAGTGATCAGTATTTTCAATGTTGTTGTGGTAGTGGAAATCTCCCTCAACGATGTCATTAAGGTCGTTATGAACTCTTGGCTGCTCTCTGGTGGTGCTGTACTTGGCAGGAGGTTTGACTTCGGGTATGGGGTTTATTTCATTAAGCACTTCTTTGCTGGACCAGCCACTTCCAGACCAGTCGAAACCTCCAAAATTATCGACAATCTGTGGACATTCCTGGATGTAGCAGGTACTGACAGCTAAAGGTTTTTTTTGGGGGTCACAATCAACCCCTGTGTTTCTAGAGCAGGTAACATTACGGTGACGTACTCCACTTCCACAAGACAGTGAACACTGTAAGAGGGAAAAAAAAGAAAAGACCAAAGCATTATTAAGCCATGCAACAGCTCTGTAGATTTACAATGTGCTTAAAAAACATAACAAAGACTATAAAATGTGTAAAGCTCTGTTGGAAAACAATATGATGATGTCTTCCATAGCGCTGGTACCCGCATCAAGCTCAGGTTTAAGAGCTGTTCCAGGACAGCTGGGCAGCACAGGACTTCAGGACCTTAGGACTGATGAGATCGGGGGTCTAGACTTAGTGTAGATGATCCAGCTGTCACCTCACCAGTCATGACAGCCATGTGTCTAGGCAGGTTAATCTGAGAGGAGGATGGACAGCAGGGAGTTCTGAAATGGAGGTAGCTGAGGAAGGCTAAGGAGGTGCTAAGATTGGTGCTGTGTGGGGAAGCGCATCAGCCATACCTTCACTTAATGCTATATCTTTCTCAACTAGTCCTTGTCACAAACAGGCTGAGCAGTTAAGACTGAAGGAGATGAATATCTAAAGCATACATTTATGTTCATCCTTCAAACAGCTGTGGAGAAACAATTTGGTCTGGACAAAAGATTTCCATATATCCATTCAAAAAGGCCTGGCAAAAAAGTACAGAGAAATGCTGAGAATAGGGAGAGGTCAGGGTATAAATGCTCACATTTAAACACCCTTAAATCTGGCTTCTTGCTGTGTCTATGTGTAATAGAGTCAGAGAATAGTTACACAAAAGACATTTAAGCAACCAGCAGTGTCTTAAATGATCCGTAACACTAAATGTGTATAACAACTGAATTATACTTCAAAAAGCTTGAGATGTGAAAATTTTCTGTGTGAATGAATGCTTTCAAAATAGAAAAAACTAGAAAACTTTCTCCACGATTAGTAAATAATTCATTTTCCCCAAATGTGAAGGTTGCTGTCTGGTTACACCTGAACCTCAGATTCTGACCCACACTCACCTTTGACCAGCTGCCAGTGGTCCAGTCTGCTGGGCAGGGGATGTGTGTGTTGCAGGAGGATAGTGACTCAGGTTTGGGGATGTGTTCACAGTTACTGGGCTCCAGGGCTTTCTGCTCCTCCGCACTTAATGCTTGAATGCAAAGAACTGTCCTCTTAGTTTGGCCTGAGCTCCCACAGCTCGCTGAGCATTTCTGCCACTCCCCAACCCACCATCTACACAACAAGACACAAAGATTACACTGATTTCAAATGCAATGCTATGCTTTGTGTAGAATAAGAGTGTATTTAATGACTGTGACAATAAAGATGAGTCTTGGTGGTTTTAGATGGCTGCACGTATGTACGTACATACGCACATACATACATACATACATACATATTTTTTAAATTATCATGCAGCAATGTAGTGAGCATTCATTGTATATTTGCTTTTTTTGTTTTTCAAAGTTATGTTTGACATTTAGTTTCAAGCAAAAAAAGGCTATGCATACATAACAGTATTTTTACCCTTTATATTGCTGATTTTTTTACAGTGAGAATGTATCCATCCATCCATTATGAATATAAACCTCGCTGCCTGTATTTGATGTGTGTCTGTTGTAATTGACTTTTATAGATTACCATCGACACTGGAAATAAATATTCTCTAAAAAAACTGTTATAGAGTTTCTACATGCAAAATCTTTACTGGCATGTTTTACATCTAACAGAGAAATAAAGATGATATTTTTCACTCACTTTTTAACAAAGCACGGCAACAGCAGGGAGCTCTGCATATTTGATTTGTGTAGATTTATTTTATTTTATTTGTTTTACATCGGACCTTTTTCCTTATGCAACTCCAAAGTTTCCTCACAGAAAACTAAAAGTGGCAAACTTTGTCTTTGTAAAAAAATCTAAACATTACTAAATATAGAAAAAAATCATCTCCACATGAATATGTCTGTGAAGGTTCTCTGTCATCCAGGTCATTGTAGTCTAAGGAGCTTGGAAAGAAGGCGCCTGGTCCTTGAAGTCGGTTCACCTCTCATCCGAAGAAGCTTCTTGGATTAGAGGTGAAATGTCTTTAAGGACGCCTTCTTTTCAAGCTCTTTAGACTCTCCACATGAACTGAAACAAACAAACAAATAAATAAATGATTAATTATTTCTGCAAAAATTTTTTTTGTTATTCAGAATTCAAGCACTGTCTTTTGAACATCAACTGTAACATCCCACAAAAGCGTAAACAATGGCACTCCTGCAGCCTCCATAGAGAAGGGTTGATCCACTGGCCAAACATCCTTTTCCAAGAAGACACTGGGCTCTTAAAACAAGATGATAGGCTGTACTTTGGTGGTGTAAAATGCATGGAAGTAAAAATGCCTGCTGGCTATTTCACTTCTCTTGTCTTGTCCAATTAAAAAAAAAGTCAAAAGGTAATTTTTTTGAAAAAAGAAAATACATAAAGAACAATTTGTCTTCAAAGGCTTGAATAAGTAAATTAAAATAAATGTCAAACTGCAATTTTTGAGTTAATTAAAAACTGTTACAACATGGAAATTTATTCTGTAGAATAATATTAAACTTGCTGTAACTTTAGGTTTGGCAGCTTTGATTGTTTGATGATTGTAGAGCACGCAGAATTTTTTGTGTGTGCGAGGGTTAAAGTACCAACACTGCACGTGTCCTTTTGTACACCTGGGAGACAAAAAACCCCAACTCACATGGCTGGACAAGGATCCTTATTACAGCTGGTTTGGTTGTGGTCAAGTCGGGTTAAGTGGTCACAGAAGTGCTCCTCAACTATCCCAGTTGTCTTTTCCACACAGTGGATAATCTGCCTCTGAACACCTGAAATACAGAAGAGAGAAACTTTCTGTGACACCTAGTACACAACTTATAAATAATTATAAGAAACAAAACAAAAAGTGTCAACATATTTATCCGTTACACATTTTAAAAACTGAATCCGATACCAAGGGCTGTAAAAAGATGTTAACAGACTAAACTAAAGGATTACATTTACAACATAATTAAAAATATGGGTGGAAGTGGAAAAACAGAGCTGCCCATTTTAATGCACATTTTATTTGCAAACCCGTTCCATAGCTTTCACAACAAAAGTAATTTTGAACCATTTAACATTAAGAAAAAAGACTGCTACACTGGCACATTTGTGTTTTGATTCATTCACTTCATTGTGAAATGGTGTATGCTGAGATAAATGCTGCGAGCAATGTAAATGAGCCAAAAAACGAAGACGAAGAAGAAAAAAAACTTATGAAACACATTTTGAATCTTTGCTTTAAATCCATTTTTCAGAACATCACTTTAAACCCTAACATAGTCAAAGCCTATTCCAGTTGATTTTAGTTCATGGAGGGGTTGGTAATATGTTTACCAAACACGAATTAACTCACTTGTATTGCTCAGAATTGCTTAAATTTACTAACAGTATCACACAATTAGTCTTAAAACCCACAAAAAACCCAGTATTTACAACACTGTCATGTTAAGCCACCATGTTGCAACTGACTGAAGGCGACTGAGGCCAGACTGGTGGCTGAAAGCCAGCACTGCTGGCAAGCCTGACTGGACAGAGGTACCAAGATGAGGTTCTCCAAGCTGTAGCTGTGCCACTCTTGTGGCTGCACACTGTCCTGTGGCTATTTCAGCAGGACAATGCCTCCTGTCAGAGTAGCGCCAGCCTTTCAGGATGACTCATATCCAAAACCTTCCTTGGTCAGCATTCAGTCCCGTTGTTCCTCCTATTGAAAATACCTGGGGACACGCTGGCTCGAGGTGTTCATGAGAAGCATCACAGTCAATAAACCATTTTGCAGATAAACCAAGAATCTGCATTTTTGTGACTAATATATAAATATTTGATCTAAATCCATATGCCTGTGGTTAGGCAGTTAAGAGCTATCGTTCTATTTCAAACATATGGACAACCAATAACAGATTTATAAACAAACACACTAGTAAAAGTAATTTAATGGCAACAAGGTAAATAAAAATAGTGACTCAAGATGAGTTAAGAAGAAAGGAAGAAAGAACTGTGAAAAAAAAATTAAAAATAATTTTAATGATGATAGGTTTCCTTTATTTAAGCGATATATATAGAAAATCTTAAAGCCATTTTTTAAAAGTCTCTGTAGGCAGTGTTTGAAATATGTGCATGTTTAAACGTGAAAGGATTCTGATTAAATATTAAACGTTTGAACAGTCCTGTTGAATTTTAACAGTATGCTGAGTACCATATGTAAACTGCTCCAGTTCCAGTGATACCTTTGCTTTTACATGTAAAAAATATAACGAAAAATCGACCAAATTCTCAAAGCTTCTCGAAGCCCGTGTCACGTAGCTCTTGTCGTCCAATATTTTACAAATTTGTTGGTTGTTAATTTTAGCCACCTGACGCTAAATGGTTACACCACAAGAAAAGATATCAACAGAATCGTGGTGTGCATATACGGATGGCGAGTCTTTATGGTTTCAAAAAGCACTGCACTAACTGTACCTAATAGGCTGACAACAGGTTTATCTCATGTGATAACGCTCTCCATCATTCCTCTCACTCTCCTGAGGGGACTTTCATCCTGTCGAAGCAGAAGACAACCCTCGGTTCACAGCGCCCTCTGCTCTGATCCTGCTGAGGGCCACAATGCACATTTGATAGCTAATTTACACCTTCAAAGATACATCTTAAGGGTCATGACAGCTATGTGAGATTGGAAGCTGCACAGAGATAGAAAGAAGAAAAGAAATGATATGGGGGGGGGGGGAAATACAGAGAAACACCCCATATTGATGACATGATGTTTGTGGCTAAATTTAAACACTACTTGGACAAATAATGTTGTCTTATCATGAATTCTTGGTACACCGAGAAACTTATGAATGTGGGTAAAACAGGGACACCCAGGGAAGATAAAGAATCTCCAGCTAGATATACCATTGTACTGTCTTGTTATCGTGTACTAACTAACGAATACTAAAGCAGATGAGGTTACTGTATTAGCTCTTCTGTACTTCTGCTGCTGCTGCCCTTATGGCATTTTCAGAATTAAGCCTTTCACTTCCAAATCTCTGAATCCCACCAAGTCTGGACAGCCCACTCAGTAAAATGATTTCCATCAACATATGCAGATGTTTCAGCTTTGGTGATCAGGATGAAGAAACTGAGTGGCATCCAAATATCTCTGATGGAAAAAGAATCATGGTTTAAAGCCAGGAGCGATCTGAACTCTGGGAAGAAATGGTCAACAAACACAAGGAAAACATGGAAGCGCCACATTAAGAAGAGCGCTGTTATATCGTGAGGCTCAGACTTTTTTCCCGCATAGCGGCGATATTTATCACTGAGTCACCACGCTATAAAAAATTGTCCTCTTTGAAAAAACAAAACAAAAAGACTAAACAATAAAGCATTATCAATGCTTTAGTAAAGGAACACAATGTGGTTTGTGTGCAGTTTTTACTTGAAGCGAGGCTCAATAGGAATTTCCTCGCTGGTGGTTGTAAAGTGATATTTATGAAAGGATCAACAAAGGCAGTAATGAAAGACACTCGGTGAAGCTTGTTATTGTTACAAGTATTGGCATGATTAAATTCATCCACGGCCATCACTCTTGAAAATGCATTTGAAAGCAAAGTCAAATCTTATTTTTCATTTGTCTCGGAGAACAGGACAACAGTTTCACTGATTTAGTTTCACTATCATTGAAACGGCTCTGACTGATCTTCAAGCTCAAAACAACACCCCTATTTGGGAGGTTAATACAGATTTCCAGGTTATACAGATAAATGATGTCTAATAAAATAAAAGCCTGAAAAAAGAAGAGGAAAGAAATATCTAAACACTGAGACTACTTGGCAAAATTGGACAAGCTTTAGGGGTTGCAGAAGCTTGTTGTTATACCCATTTGGCAGTTTAAAATGGATTTGAACTTTGAACACCATTCAATTACGTATTTTCATTTCCTTTTATCTTATTGAAAAAGAAGACATACACTGGTGCTTTCCAGAAACAGAAGTCAGAAGGGATAGAGTCATTTTTATCCATATTTAAAACAACATTTAAAGAGCTATATGACAAATAAAGAGTTACATAAATGAGGAATGAAGTAAACCACATGAAAATACCAAAGATGCAATCCTGAAAACACACAAAAAAGTAAACACAGAAACTCTACACCTGGTATCGAAAAAATCTCCCAGCTTTAATCTTTATGTTACAATCTAACACTAACCAATCTGAACTTCAATCTTGTTACCAGATCATCCAAAACCAGAGGCAGACTGGTGCTAACTATGTAGTGACTTTAAAACAACAAAATTACACAAAAAAAAGTAACGACAGAAAACCTTTCATGCCCACATTCCCACTGACGGGCAGTCTGGAATCAGCAATAAACCTAAACCCAACTAGCTGGATGTCTGTGGACTGTGGGAGGAAACCCGATTACGCAGAGAGAACCCACACAGACACGAAGAGTCCACACAGAAAGGTCTCAGCCAAATGGCGCATTCAAACACAGGACCTGACTGCTGTGAGGTAATATTGCCAAGAACCATGCCACCATGGTGACATACAACTGACAAGTGACATTTGGGGTTTAAATGTTATGGTATACAGCAGCGGTCCCCAACCCCCGGGCCACAGACCGTCCGTGAGTCGTTCGGTACCGGGCCACGAGAGTTGAGGTTCAGATGTTAAATTTATGGTTATCATGGTTTTTATCGTTAGCTCGGATTCCCTGGGTCTTTTCCCGTGTTGTAGTTTTGTGTCTTATTTTGAAAGAAATATTTACGTGTTACCACAGCGACCAGAAAGTATTAAGGGGCAGAGAGGAGGACGTTACTCTCAATGTTGTTGGCGCATTTCAGGAGGACACTGCTGATAAAGTTACACAATTACACAGCGAATTCCTGTTTATTATTATATTTGCAGCATACCACAGTTTTTGTCTTGGTCGTATCATTTTATTTTGTTGTATTTATCCGCATCACCTTAAAGGCCGGTCCGTGAAAATATTGTCTGACATTAGAACGGTTCGTCGCGCAAAAAAGTTTGGGGACCGCTGCTATACAGCATCCAACTGGGCACTAAAACTCCTAAAGCCCCACCGACTCCCTCAGTGTTTTCTTGGATACATAAAAGTACAGCTTCAGTGCTACGACAAGCTTTAAAAGTTGAGAAAATCAATGTCAAATCTAAAAGAACCACGCGGTCAAGGTGTCCGCGAGTATATGTAAAAGGGATGAAAGGACTTGTCAGAAAGGCATTTCTTTCTTCTTTATGAAACTCCCCACACATTGGGAAATGCATAAATCCTGAGTGGGGTTACACAAGGCTGACAAAAAAAGGTCTCCACCTCCACCATAATCTTCTGTATGTCTCATCTTTGTAACCTGCAAAATGAGTTTGATTCATTACGCGACAATTTGACAACCTTGTGAAACTCTGAACTGAAAAATGAGGCCATTACAGTACAAAAGGAAGATGAGCAGATGTGAGAAGAAATTAAGAAGGCGAAATCAACTGCAGGGCAAGGCTCTGTGAGGGGGTCCATCCATCAGGGCCACACGGGAGAGTGGAAAGTGATAAGAAGCAAAAGAGAAAACAGGACGGCACAGCGAGGGCAACAAATAGCAAACAAGTGATCATACTGGCCTCTTTAATCTTAACAAGATTTTTGTATTTGAAATGTGTGAAGCAACAGCATAAATGCTTCTTCATCATTCATCATTCTTCATTCTTTTGTTGTTTCTCAGAAACTATTGACTGTCTTGTGACAAACTAAAGTCACCTCATGTTTGACCCCTATAGTGAGCTGATGTAGTAGCTCTGCTTCGCTGGCTAGAGCAGAATATCTGTAAATCAATACAAAACTGTTCTGAACAACCACTTTTATCCTGTGAAGAAACACTTTTTGTGTTGATGGGAACAGCCTCGTCCAGGATAACAATGTCTCCATGAGAGCTCACTCATGGGTTTAATGACTCTGAAGATGAATATAAATCATCGATTTCACTGGTCTTCACATCATTAAACGCCTATGGGAGATTTTGAACAGTACGCTCCACCATCATCACAACGGTCTCTATTCCTCCACATGCAAAAATAGTGGCATGTGGCACATTTTCCGCCATAATCTCTCTCACTCCCCGTACGTTTGCCCACTTATGTATAGCAAAGCTGTTTCTCTTACCTGTTCCGCAAGTAACGCTGCATTCAGTCCACGAACCGTATTTCCAGTAGAAAACTGACAGCGGGGTGTTGTTCTTTTCGGAGACATTTTGACTGATGGTGTACTCGTACCTCACTCCTGGATTGGCCTCCTGAAAGAGAAGCTGTAACACACGAGAGGAGAAATAAGAAACGTTTCATGGCAACAGAAAGTGAGGTGCAAGGTAGAATCGAAAATAGTTATGCTGAGTGGTGAAATTTTACTTCCCTCACCATCTCTTATTTGCACAGCTATAGACTATTTCCAGTGTCAACAAAAATTATTATAGTTACTACATTTGCTCATTTGGAGCTGAACTGTATGCAGTTTAAAGACTTGAGTTTAAAAGTTTTAAATATGATAGTTACTCTTAAAAACCACCGATGTAGCTGAAACAATTTTTTTGTCTTCATGAAAGTAATCAAAATGCAAAGGACTTTGTTTCCCAGCCTTTTCATATGGGAATAAACAGAGTCTTTCTCTATGACTTAGAAAGGGATAATGCATTTAAAACCGTGGGTTTACTCATACCTGAATCCACAGAAGCTCTGTAGTGGGCCCTGGAGATGTCAGGTTTTCAAGCTGTCCGGTCCTCTCATAGGTGAATACTGTTCCAGCAGCCTTGTATTCTCCATTCCACTGGATCGTCCAGCCACCATTCAGGAAATACTTGCTGGGATTGTCACTTCGGAGTGCCAAGAAATTTCCAGCTGCTCCCAACTCCTCAATGTGAATGTCCCAGGCTCCCTCTGGGATCAGTCCAATGTCTACATAGCCTAAAAAGACGTGAAATTTTAGTGAAAGAACAATCTTTGTGAAATAGAAATACAAGTATTCTGATACGCGGTGTTTTAAATGATGTATCCACAAAAAAGACATTCAAAAATGTTACAACTGTAAAAAAAAACATACTATTTTGGGAGGTTATAATCTGTTTTTTCTCCCACAGCAAAGACTTTGTGGAATAATATGTTAAGACAACAACAAATAAATCCTGAACTCTGAAACAGAAACAGCTCGACTCAGTTTACCCATCATCCCTTTTGATTTCTTACATCTGTTCTTTGTACACATCTTTGTGATATGTCAAAATAACTTTTGTGAGTAGGGTTAATGTAAAAAACAGAAAAGAAAACAACATACCCAGCCCTTCACTCTCTTCAAATGTTTTCCTCACAGTTGTACAGGTGGAGCCGTTACCATTGCACACTCCACAGCGATCCTCTACAGCAGTGGAATCTATCACGTAATCACAGCCTATATTCTGTTAGAAACATGCCACAAAAATGATCAGTATCACGATAACGGACATTATGTAGCAAATGTGACTTGGTGACCCTTTGAACTGTGGTAGTTCCTGTTACATTGCTTTCTAAAAGCCAGAAAAACAGCAGAGGCTGTCTCATGTACCTTTGACTTGTTTGGAGTGGGCAGATGATGCAAATGAAGCTCAAAGTAATCCTTAATATTATAGTGTAGTATTTATTTATTTACTTTTTAGGTTGGGTTTGCTGGATACTGTACTCTGGCATGGTGCAAATGAAGGCGCAACATGTAATCCAGATAAACAAAAGGCAGCAGTTGAGCTGCATCAGGTGGTTCTCTTTCTTAAGTCCATGTAAACAAAGTTTGACTTTGGTAAAAGAGCAAACACAATAGCAAGAAAACATGGCTATTTTTAAGCAATCATTATGCAGAATTGCATCTATATAATATATTAAATAATATATCCATTAATGTTTAATTACATCACTATCTTGCTACCTAACTTATGGATTTAGCTGCCAAATCAATAAACTAATTTTAACTGTGCATTTCAATAGTTTTCTTAATTATGCACGTGCAATGGCAGAAGGCTATTCAATTCTATTTTATTCTATTCTAAAGTTAAAGCTAGGCAAAATAGCAAATAAATAGATATTCATAGCACAATAATACTACTGAAAGAGTTGAAAGCAACAGAAAACTGAGTACCTCAAAGTTGCATTTATATACAATACTTGAAAAAAGGTATGTACTTATTTTTTAATTAATTTATTTGACCAAACTTAGGATGGGAACATGCTTCCCGTGGTGTTCTTAGATTATACATGTGAATAATACTTGCGTTTTATGTTGCGGAGAATTAATTTTTTTGAATCAAAAACCACAAATGGGTCATCTTCGACAAAGAGAGTGTGGGTGTGTGACAAAAATGTCACAAAATGTCATGAAGTCAGAGACTGCTGTCCACTCGGTACCCAAATAGTGTCTGTTTCAATGACTGGCATTTTAGCCCAGGGCGATAGGCAAGAACAGGCTGCTATCTTAAGATAACAGCCTCCAGATTTGTTTCCCCGTCTTTCCTTCTTTCTTTTTCTATTTTTTTTTAATCAGCATGCTTATTGTGACCCAGAATGTCAAATGTACAAAATTCGCCAGCAGAGAAAACAAGACGAGCACCAACTCAGTTTACTGCATGAGCGACAAAGCACAAACGCAACAGAAGAAAAAAGATTCCCATCAATCAATACAAAGTTTTTTCAGTCAAAAGAAGAAACACCTTCAAACCTGAGGACAGTATATATAGAATGCCTTGTATTGCTTTAATACCTTACAAATGCTGTTGATGCATATATCTCGCTTTTTGTTGCCTTCATAACAAGGCGTCCCATCAATGACAGCATCGCGCATCTTCTCAGAAAAGTTTTCATTCAGTGGACGGCAGTGCAGCTCACAGGGGTTCACTGTTTTCAGAGAGAGAAGCGGTAACAAAGTGTTGGCGTGAAAATGGAAATTTAAAAAACAGAAGCAACAGCGGCCGACTCAAATTTAATCCGCTCACCCGTGTTGATGACTGCCTCCCACTTGTAGAACTTGCCCTTGTATGGCTGACTGTTGAAGTGACTACACTGGATGTCCCTGAACGTGGGCAGGTGATGAAGACAAGGTGTGGTGTTACAGATCTTGTACCTCTGTCGCTCTCCCAGACAATACTTCCCTCTGTACCTAGGACTACAGAACAGGGAACAATGTTATTTGAATGCTTTTGTACTTTTTTTTGAACAAGCATAGGAAGCATTTGTCTCTGAAGCACAGAACCAGTAGACAAGCAGCAGGTAAATTTAGACATTACAAAGGCCTATTAGAATAGGCCACATAAACATGTGAATAACAATTATGGGTTCGCGGCATAAAAAGGAAGTTTATACTTTTATCTAATCACCCTAAGATCGTTCACCTGTCCAATTTTATGAAACAAGCAGTCAAATGTACAGAATATACTTTTTCAAGCTGCACTTATTTGCATTTTCACTGCCAGGCTTTAGCAGAGCTAAAACTAGCAAAAAAATAAAATAGCAAAAATATTGCATGTTTAAATCTTTGCAATGAAACTACTGTAAGAACTGGGGTTCTGCAGTTAATTACGTTTATCGTCTATCGGAATATTACATGACATCATCCTTTGCTGACATTACAACATTTGCTGACATCCTGTTGACATATTCCAGTTATTGGATTTTCAATTCCACAATTACATATTCAATTATATATTTAAAAGAAATTACGCAGCTTAACCCAGATCACCTATAGAGCATGAAACTGATCTGCTGCACATAGAGATCAGCTATAATGCAAAACTACAGGGTGGGCCATTTATATGGATACACCGTAATAACATGGGAATGGTTGGTGATATTAAAGTCCTGTTTGTGGCACATTAGTATATGTGAGGGGGCAAACTCCTCAAGATGGGTGGTGACCATGGTGGCCATTTAGAAGTCGGCCATCTTGGATACAACTTTTGTTTTTTCAATAGGAAGAGGGCCATGTGACACATCAAACTTATTGGTAATGTCACAAGAAAAACAATGGTGTGCTTGGTTTCAACGTAACTTTACAAGTATTAATTTCACCACTTATAAGAATGTGTTATATAAAACAGTCTGCCCATATGAATTTGGATAATTATATTTTATTTGAGTACAAAAATATTTTTTACTTTTACAAAGAAAAAAACAAAATCGCTCCACCATGTATTTTTCCTACTTATACAGAACTAGTCTTTGCTCGTCTTATGTGTAGGGTTGAAAAGTCACATGCCTTCACCTTCAGTTTCACTCTGTCTCACTGCCCAAACCCATCTTAGGTCAAATAAGAGCTCAAAGCCTTAACATCAAGACTTTTCTACATTTCGGTATCGAACCGGATCCTTAAATCACTTCACAGAGTTCAGAAGTTGTGTTTACTCTGCAGAGTCACACATAGATCTGCCTGTACGAGCTCATCCTCACCAGAATGCGATCCAGGTTTACTGCAGCTACGCAAGGTTACCTACAGGATCTATGTGTGCACTTAGCCATATGGCAACAGTATAACTTCAGTAATTAGTTACAGCTGTTAAGTATTACTGACACAGAGATCTGACTGATGAGGGTCATTGTTGTAAATGTACGCAATGTACAAACAACCGCTACAGAGTTACACAGCAGGTGTCCACACACTGAGTCCTAACGTTTAATGCCATTAACATGAAAATATCCTTTTGATGTTAATACAACTAATTAAAGTAATTTTTTCTTGTTTATTTTTTTTTGTTCAAAGTCAGCATTTGGAATAAGGATTATTGTTTTATTACTGTGTAGCATAACCAGATATAATGTATGACCTCAATTAATCTAAAGTAACTACTACTCTAATAATAAATATATATATCCAGTATGATGTATTGTTTGGATTCTTTTGTTCCAAATTAATCCACAGAAGGCTACAGGAGAATGAAAATGTATGAATTATTGCTTCTACTTTCATTATTTACACATCAATCAAATTACACTGTGGTGTTTTTTTGTTATTATTTTATTTTTCGCTCAGAATCGGTTCGCCTCTTCATTTTACTCATTACTGTCTGAAAGTGTGTCTTCTTGGTAAAAACAAGCAGCACTCTGTTTTACAGGACTCTACTAATAAAAACATGATGTAATTTTTTTAAATAGTATTTTTTTGGGCATTTTTGCTTTTGTTGGCAGGAAAAATCGAAGAAAGAATAGGAGGAAGACGTGCAGGCAAGAGCTGTGTTATAGCTGTGCGGCATATAAACACCTACAGCTTACTTTAAATTTAATCAAAGGATCAGTGTTTGTGTTCTTTTCTTCTACAAAAAAGGAAAATATCAGGACTGCATGCACTAAATAAATATCTAGGAGTCTTACACTGGGTTATCACACTCTCTTTCAGCGCTCTGGACACCAACACCACAGGTCCTCGAACAGGCTGACCACGGGCTCCAGGACGCCCAGCCGCCATTTATAATCTCAGGGTAATATCCAACTGCAACGCACTGCCCACCAAAGCACCACTAATGACAAAGGACACAAAAGTTTCATTTAATTAAATACATGAGCACAAAAGAAAGAGTTCCATTGTTTTGTTCTGGTAAGATCATAAGACAGTTTGAACTCAACATTTTCAGTTTTCTCTTGTGTATTTTGTCTTCTAAGTAATGCGGATGATGGAAAAGTGGGAGTACTCTTGCTCCATTGATTTAGTGTTATTTACTACATTGAATATGACACAAGATGTAAAAGAAATTCACGCGTATAGCTTTTACACTCCTTTCTTTGAGGAATAGAAATTTAAACAACTATTTGCAGGAATGGGCGTTGACTTTCTAAGGATGCTTCACCAATCAGACTGTCCTGTTTCCATATGTTGACTCCAATATTCTCAGTCAAACAAAAGATACAAATCAATACTGCAAACAGAAAAGACTACCCAGATACAAAACTCTTCTTCCTAGATATAAAAAACTGATAGTTGTCAACACCAATATAAGCAATCTCATCACGATCATCTTCCTGTCTCGGTCATGAGAGGAAAAACTCACTTTGTCCTCCCCACAACTTGTTCCATCCACAGCCCCATCCAGCTTTGAGTGGCAGGTTGTTCCCACAGTGCACCACAGAGTGCTGCATACATTCTGGAAGAGCAAATAAAGATTAATATCTCACACCCACAGCCCTTTTTTTTGGCTTGCTTTTCATATATTTTTAGAGTACATCACACAAGTAAATACTGTATAAAAATAGTGGACAGGCATAACTATTGCATTTTACTGAAAATGTTGCATGTAAGAATGTTGATTAATTTTCATATTGCCTTGCAGATAATACGTGTTTGATGCTCTTCTATGAGTAACTGGAGTTGCTAGCATCTTATCTTATATGCCAAATATCCATATTTTTAACTGTAGTTCAAAATAATATTATTAATAACGATAGATGACGCCTACAGCCACTCATAAAGCTTAATGTTTGCTCTTGCTCTGAGTGATAAGATGTGTCCTCTCTTCAGACACGGCAGATCAGATAAGGATTACCGGCTGCAGCTATCCAGCAGGGATGCCTGGTATCGACTTCTTCTAGAAATGCACCACAGTGCCTTATATGAACGGATTTCTATTCTTTCACTCTGTCATCCATTATGCATCATATACTTCTGAATGAATTTACAATACCATTACTGAGAGTTAACCTGATGTCCATGTCCTGACTTTGTCTTAAAAAAAAAACAAAAAACAAAATTATAATTGACTTATTAAAATATGTTTGTTTGCCTGGTCCAAAAACTAAGAACTCTTAATCAGGTGGCTCGGCCAAGCAATCCTCAGAACTCCAATGTTGATCAGATATAAAAATCAATGAGCCTTAGAAATATCTGGCTGATCAACCCTGATTTCAGCGAAGCTGAACATCCCCTATAGCGACAGCATCATATTTCCTGTACAAACATGTTCAGCTTCACAGCCAGCCTCTGACAAGTGAGTGTATTCCCCAGAATTGTTAACTCTTCTGTAATGCTGGTCATGCTGTATGCTCTGATTGACAGTGTGAAAGGAACTCTGACCTGCATTTGCACAAATAATCAATCCAAAGACCTACAGAGGTGGAAATTTATAGCTGATAACACACCAAAAGGTCAAAAATATCTAGGAGGTCCCCGACTGATTGGTCCAACTGTCTTGACCCTTTCCCCTTTGCATCTCTTGACATTTGTGATGAATATGTGGACAACACGATTATGATGTAGACATTTCTGAGATTTCAGCTTCTGAAACAGTCAGGTTCTTACCTGGTTAAGTCACAGTTAAAACCAAGGAAAGACTAACAAAGGCATGCATAATTAATTCTCAACACAGAGATAAACTTCTAAGAGAAATGGAAAAGTGACAGCAACTGATAATCCCTTAATGGATGAAATTTGAAAGACTTGCGCTTTCAAAAATACAACCTGGATTAGAATCCTGGACTTCGCCACGTTTAGCTTTCAGTATGCAATGTCATACAAAAAGCGCAGAGAGTCAATACAAAAACCCCCCCTCTCAAATTATTCAATCTGTCTGAATCGAGCAATATATGTAATGTATATGTATGTATATGTCTTTATCTCAAAGCAATTGAGACTTCCTTGAGAATGACCCGAACTACTTTGAAAGGTCTAAAAACCCAGAACCTCAAATGTGTGATGCCAGAACAGGTTTGATTTGCACCGCACAACTAAAACAGTTTTTAAGGAAACATTTAACTCAAAATCAAGTACAAGTGACAAATATTGTGCATTTTTGTGTGTGTTGATATCGTATAATAAACAAGTATGAATTTAATATTTAAAAACACAGACCATTTCAATCGTTAGGTGGCCCCAGATTCCTCTAAATATACCATTTTATAAACAGCAGTCATTCCATGAAAAGTCTGTCAGTGTTAACATTAATGCACGTGATTACAAGAAAACTCAGGGCACTCCAAGAGCTGTGTAAACAAGCTGTAAAAAAAGAAAAGGGATTTGTTGAATTTTCATAACAGTAGGCTGTAGGTGTTGTAAATCTCTAGGCCTCCCACAGTCGTTTTTCCAGTCAGGATGGCGCTTGTAAAATCCACACACTTTACTGCTCTTGCATTGTTCGTATAAAGAAAATGCATGTGTGTGGTCCTCATCTGTCCAGTCTTTTCAAGAACCTGTTGCTTGAGGCTGTATATGATTTATTTACAGAACAGCAGCCCTGCTAAACTTTGAAGTACTTTGAAAAAAGAGGGGACTCAAATAATACATCACATTTATTTTGCACAAAAAAATCTCCCCATGAAGAGCTGTCTTTTTCTTTCTCTTTGTCAAAAAAGGTGGGAGGGAAACAATGCCAAGTGAGTGCCGGACACACAAATGCCCAAAGGAGCAAGACTTCCCTGCTGGCTGGATCATTTGCTGCATGTCTTTCCACTATTGTGTCTTCATGTGTTCCCTGACTAAATAAAAGCATAAATGTATTATTTTCCTTACCAAAGTTAGATAAATTGGCTTTACCGGTGTTAATGAAATAGAAAAATATAGCACTTGCTATGGTTCTAAATTAAAGGTTAAAAAAACAGAAGCAAAGTACAAAAAGCTCAAGCCATTGATTTTCAGTCCAGGTCCTTTATAATTAGCACACCTCAGCCTCGTCTCCCAGTTTCCCCTCCTTATGAATGGCTTCTTGACAGCCTCCCTTCCACTGAGACCATTTCTGGTGAGGCTTCAGTGAACAGTAGATGGATAAATTCAGGAGCCAGATGCATTTCTCAGGTCTATATAAATAGACTATATAAATAAAATTGAACTGAATTGAATTGAGGTCCTGTGTCAGAGGTCTTTTGTGAATTTGTTCCCATGTCTCAAGAACAAGACTACATTGTTCATCTACTGTAGATATTTTTTTAGGCCTTCCACTTTATTTTTTCTCCTCCAATAGTCCAGTTTCCTCAAATCCTTTTAAAGACCCACTGGACATCATGCAGTGATATACCAAGTTCTCTGTTAGGTTGTCTGTTATGCACAGACAACACTGGTTCAGCCTTTGTATACTTGAATGATTCATTGGTCAGTGTTAAATAACTTAAGAAGCAAGGAAACCAAAACAAAAGGTCAGGTCAGGTACAAACAGAAGGAGGACTCACCTTGTCTATCCACTATCAGCGACACACTATGTTAGATTCAGTCTTCTCTTCTTTTTGTAGCAACGCACTACTTTCCTGCAGTACAATACTGTTCAACTGATGCTCACGAGGGTATGGTACCACGGTGTGCTGCCACACTGCCTTTATGCAGACAGAGGGGTTTGTAAGTAATCCAGAAAAGTTGGAGTGCCTGTAGGAATTAGTAGCGCCAGTTTTCAAGGCTTGATCAGCCTCCATTGCTGCAGAACAGATTTAAATTGTTAACATATTTTGCGTTCCCTGAAAAAGGCCTTTTTGTATGATTCAAAAATGTAAATTATTTTGAAGTTTTGGAGCTTTGAAGCTATTCATTGGACTTGAACGACTTGATTTGCAATAAATAACTGGAAAAATTGAGGTGTTCCATAACTTTTGACCGGTAGTGTATGTATGTTTACACAACGTAAATGTCGTGGACACAAAATTAAAGCAGCCACATGGAAGAACTCAATAAATATTAAACTGACTGATACCACAGTTATTTTAAAATGGCTGTTTAGTCCATTTAGATTAGTTCTTTAGGCTATTTTTTTCGCCTTGTGTGTTATTAAAAGGTTATAACTGTAATCAACACATTTATGTGGTTGTTGTGAGGCTGGAATTAACATTTTGTTATTTCATTGCACTCAGGGGAATGAGGTTAAAGAAACGCAGAAATTGGTGCAGAGCGGAGAATGTTTTCCTTATATGTTCTCTTAGTTTAATTCAAGCTGACAGACAGTTCTGAGGAATGGCCAAAGATATTGCCAAAGTCAGTTTATGTGGGGTAATATTTTAAATCACACTATTGTGGTTTAATGTCCTTAAAATTTGTCAGAAATAAGACAGTAAAACCAAGGAAAAAGATGGATGTATAGTGCATAGAAAAGAAACTCATGTCAACAAAGAACAGAAGATCTAAAAGCTCTTACTGAATCAGGGAACAGTCGTTAAGGTTTTGGGGTTGATCAAAAACATCATAAGAACATTTTTAAGGATTACAAAGACTATCATTTAATTGTGTAATTTTAGAGAATCTTACATCCATGTCATCACAGAGCAGGGATCCTGATCCATACTGGAGCCGACACTGATGGACAGCACTGTACAGAACGCCAGGAAGCACCGTAGATAGAGACAACCTATCCTTCACCGGGGCATCATCGAGGCACCAGCCCCAGCCACGGCTGTGAGGGAGGAGGAAGGTAGAAGTTAGAGAAAAGAACGAAATGATCACAGTTTATGAAAATGTCAGCGGCTGTGGAGTATAGTACAACTTTTTTGATTTCTTTATATAGGTTACTGAAGCAAATGTATAATAACAAAGGCTACATTGGTTATTATTAAACCCTGAGGGTTTCATTTATTGATTGTTTTTAGGAAACAACATGCCGAACGTACAAATTTTGACAGGTTATAGCTTTAAAAACTTAATGTGGGAGTAACACTAGCCCTTGCACAACTCAGTGGCTATACAAATACCTACAAACGACAACTTAGATGAGGGCACTGTAATTAAAAGGCGGAAAAGTTTCAGAAAACCACAGTTGATACACAGCTACAAAGCCCATCTGAATATAATAATCAACTGCAGGCATATATTCTCTGCATGACATTTCAAAAGAGCATTTCTCTTTCCCACTCCATCCACAGCTTGACAATCAACGTGCGAGTGTTTAATTATGTGATTACGGCAGTCAAGTATAATTATAGACTCCAACAGAAAAATTATTTACAGGCATCACAGTGTCAAGTGGAAGATGAGGAGAAAGATAAGTGATTTGGTTTACTTCGTCCTGTATTTTGTTTTTAGTAACACAAGAATTTCGAGCCCCATGAAGGTAATGCAAAGAAGGATGCTCAGAGTAAGGTCATCTTCCTCTACTACTCCTCTACTAGTAAGTTTTACACTTACTAGTTTTCTACTAGTTACTAGCAGATCTACTCAATCATCTCACACTGGTTTCCAACGAGCAGAATGAGAGGTTCACATCATATATGTCCAGCCAACAAATCTTGCATCATTTTAGGAGACTCTAATTATCCTAACCAATCACTAAAATATATAGAGCTTGAAAACTTGGCAACACTTGGCCTATGTTAGCCTGGCGATGGCGCTAAATAGCTAATTGATAGTGCTCCTGTCAAGCTTGTTGGACCACGTGTTTTTCAGCTAAAAACCCCTCTATATCATGACAATAGCAGACAAATCCATCAAAATCCTGGTTTAAGAGTGTCGGCCAAGGAAAAAAGTTGTTTGATGTACGGATGAATCACTTTGATTCTTTGGATCTGTCGATTAAAATTTACCAGGACTTTGATCTCTGCGAAGATAAAGTTGTGATGATGTTAAGTAATGTGAGCTTTAGCTACATCTATGGTCAAGCTGCTAAATAACTGCATTTCCCAACATTCATATACTGACACTCGAAAACCAAAAATAACAGTTCTGCTTCAGTGAAGCCAAAAGAGTTGTCCTGCATTGGTCTTTAATCAAAATGGTAATAAGCATGTGAACTGGCTAATAAGATTAAATGGTAAATGACTGGTACTTATACTTTTCTACTCCAACTGAGCACTCAAAGCACTCAAGAGAGTCAAACAATCTCATGTATGTGCAGTAGCAGAAAAAAAGAAAAGAAAAAACATATACACAACAGAAAGATGAAAAGTGGCCTCTGTCACATTACAACAACTAGTTTCATTCAGTCTTTGATGTCTCCAGAGTTGCTGTCTTTACCAACCAGTCAGGTTGCAGCTTACATCAAAGTCTGTCCAGATTCATAATAAATTTAGCTGTTTTCACACATGCACTTCAGGCTTGAACTTTTTCAGACGTAACCCTGCTTAACTGCACACGAGAACATGAATGAGTTTTAAGTAACTTGCTTCCTGCGTGCTCTGCTCAGGTACCACCCTCCATAAAAATGCAGTTCAAGTCCTGTAAATCTGTGAAAGGGCAACACCTGGACCTACGTAGTTGTGGAAAAATACTCTTTGTACATTACAAGTCAGCGCTTGCAATTTGACAGAGGTCACTTGTTTTTTGCCCAGTATGAGTAGAAAAGTGCTACAGAGGCAGCACCCCATTTACCATTTAATCACAGTTTTAGTGACACATGCTTATTATCTTTTTAAATTAAAGCATTACAAACAAGTGAAGGATGACAGTTTTGGTTATTTACTTTTGTTATTTTTGATTTTCAAGTGTGTTTCCAGGCTGCATTATTTAAAAGCATAACTAGATACATGCAGCTAAAAATCATGTTACAAAGCTCACATTACTTAACACAGGGCCATCATAACTTTATCTTGATGGAGACTCTTATTTTAGCGCTAATAAAACACCAGCTCTTTCACCATCTAGAACTTTTAAGAAATCATAATTGAAAACAATGTAATTGTCAACAATCCAGTGTCCTTTACAATTTCAAAGAAGGGCAAAAAAATCTTGTCTTCTGATTTGGGATATGATATTCAATACCACCCCCCCCATCAGTGTACATAGATGGACAACATGAAAGTCTAATGCATGCCTCTAGCCATAGTCATCACTGTGTTAATCTTAGAGGTATTAGTGATGACCCAAGTCTTGTTTGGCTCTATCAGATCCATCTATATCTATATATCTATATATCTATATCTATATATATCTATATATCTATATATATATATATATATATATATATATATCTATATATATCTATATATATATATATATATATCTATATATATATATATATAGATATATATCATCCATCCATCTATACACTGTTATGTGTGAGCTATCTTAGGGCTTCTTTCAGCAGTCTGGACATTTAAGCGAGGCTCTGTTTAGTAGCCCATCTATGTGATTATATCAGTCGTCAGCTCAGTGTGACCTTTCACTTTCTACATGAAATGACACCTACAGATCAGACCTCTGAAGCAGTGCGAGCTATGGAGGCCTGCTGGGACAAATTAAGCTATATATACAATAGAGGCTTTGTCTTTCAGTCAGTGGCAGAGACGTGGCAGAGAAAAATGGGGTGAGATGGGTAGAGTTAAGTGAATAAAATGGAAAGAAAAATAAAACCTCACGTTAACCATGATTTAATGCATTGGGGCTTTGAGCACAATGCTAAAATATATGCTAACACACTATAGTCAAAATATTGCAAAATACATATAGGCGAGTTTGTTTTGATTAAAACACATACTGACTGAACTAACTGGAAGTGCTGGTTTTAAGTGGTTTTAGACTTTTTTTCCCCACTTTAAACTATCTGTCAGAAACAGACACACAAATAAACACATATAACTCATATAAACACACAAACCACTGGCTTTTGTGCCGCAAACTCCCACAAGTGTAAATATCACCGTGAACTCCCACAGTGGAGTCAAGAAGACGATACTGTCAAGTAGCTGAACACCCACTAAATGAATTCCAGATGCTCGGAGCAAAGAAACTGGGGCAGTTATGGTGAAATATTTCAGACGTTCAGCACATGTGCTGCTGAAGCAAGAATCAAGTCTTTGATGGTAGCAGCTGTCTGTACAGCTGAGAGACACTGGCAGACTGTAGTGTAAAAGTAGCCAGATGGTGGAACGTATGATGGGGTATACAGCCATATACTGAAAGTTACACTATTGAGTATACATTGTTTTTATCAAATACTATTATCAATAATTTAATAATATTGAGTATAAGTTAATATTGGCAAGACAAGCCCAAAAACTGCACAGTTCAACAGGAACATTGCAAAACTGATATCAGTACATGATGTAAAAAGCTCACTAAAGACTGTCACAGACAGAAATGTCTGTTTCAAAATCCATTTAAACAAAGCGTTGATTCAAGAAAAAGAAGTACTCTATTTAGGCTTTTACTCAACTTCATCACATATGAATTACTGACTGTCCAGTGAGCTTTAAATGAAGTTAGAAGTCACAGTTACTAGTCCTGGGTCACTATTTGACTATCAGATGTAGAAGAGAGGTGGGTTAGAGGGCCTTTTTTTAATGTCAGTCACTAAAGTAAGTGGGCGGCATTAACTGTGCTGCTGACCTTAAGGGGTTTAACAATGAGGTGGCCATTGCCCTTCAATAGAAATAATTTTCTAAGATAACATTGCCACAGTAATAAAAGCATTCAGCAGTGAAGAACAGCCTCTCTTCTGTACTAATGTGAAAAGCCATTATTACCCAAAGGGCTCTAATGTTAAAGGTCATTTGAAACAGTGTTATGTAACTTATTTTCAGTGTTTTTAAATTCAGTGTATCTTGGTCAGGAAGTTTTATTATGTAGTGATGGTTTAGTTTTGTGATCTGCTAATGGTTCTAGATGTTGGTGACAGATGACAGCAAACAGGGAAACTGCAGGGAAATCCAAAAATGTTTAGGGCACATGAATCCTCAAGCCTATATACATGTATGTTACACAGCAGCACAGTCATACAGAACAAACAGGCACTCACTCTAGGAAGCGGGTGATGTATTGGCGACTGCAGCGTGACCACCTGGGCAAAGAGGTGCCGTACAGGAGCTGTGGAGACATGACGAAAGGTCGTTTCCCAACGGGTTCACAGTCATTACCGCTGCCATCATGCTGAATCCCAAAACTGTGATAAAGAGGATTCACAAAAAAAGGGGAAAAAGTGAGGGGGCACAGCATGTAACATGTATATCAAGGCAAAGCGCCGCATGTGTAGTATAACAAAGAATTATGAGCACTCGACATGTTTAAAATACATCAAAACAGGCAGAACTTGTGTTTTTTTATTCATGTAACCTTTGTTTATCCAGGTAGTCCCACTGAGACTTGATGTCTCATTTACAAGAGACACAGTTTCTTTCTTCTTGCAGAGAGCATGACTACACAAACATTACTTATGTGAATATGATGAGGAAAAGGCCATTCACCCCTTCTTTTTAGCCTGAATTTCTTTTTCTCTTTATCTGGAGCTCTAGGATCTATTTTTCTTAGATACTACCATTGCACCCTGAGAGAGAAAGTGAAAAGCAATAGATTTCAAATTATAGGGCGCTGCCAAATACAGAAAAGTTTACGAGCGCTTAGTACTTTTCAAGGTTGAGAACAGTAATGCCAATGAAAACTTCAGCGATGACTGGCTGCAAGTTTTTCAACATCTGATGGATGTCGATTAAGAAAAATCCGCTTCTTTCAAGTACAGCAAATGCATTTCATCATCATTTTCTAGGAATTAATTTTTAAAGGAAATTGGGGTTTTAACATGTAACTTCTTTTAACATGTGACGAGTTCCAAGAACAAGTTTGGATTTTAATTTTGAATTGAAAAATCTGCGCTTTGCTTATCGATGAATGAGCATGAAGAAAACCTTAGACAGACTAATCTGACTTCATTAAATCATTAAAATCATAAATGAAGCTTGATCAAACAATTACATGTATGATCATGTGTATTTCAGTATTATAGTTGTTCTTCGTTTCAACAAAGCATAGCAGCATTAATTTTCTCAATTTTAGCCAGAGACCCTGTAAAAAAGAAAAGGCTTTCTGTTATACTCTAGTAGACATATTCCATCTACAGAATAGCTGTTTTCCAGGGTAATAATACAACTTTACAATACAACAGCTTTTTTTTAGATGATTCGCAGCACCATGTTTATACAATATAGTAGCAGGAGACAGTGATGTAGGATTTTCATGGTAACTGGAAGAAATACAGTACACTTGCACCATGTGTATCCTTATCAGTAATATAAAAAAGACCCTCAATAAACAATCAGACCAATCACATAATATAAAACACAGGCAATAACACAAATATACACAATATTTTCTTTTTACCCTTTTAAGCAGTCTAATTGTACCATTGTGGTTTTGAATGAAGAAAATAACTTTCATAGCCTTTCATGCTCTGAATTTATTTTGTCGTCATAATAAGAACACCCTTGAACACAATAGGCTCCCTTCAGCCTAAGACCTGTTCAATCCTTCAAGAAAATAACCTCGACATATATTCAAGGGTAAAACCAAACAAACCATATATATAAATTGTGAAAAATAGGGTCTGTTCAGCACATTTTCAAGGACAAAGTTCCTAAGCTGACTTAATAAAAGTAGTACAAGTACACACTTGTAGTATAGGTTGATCTGAGTACAGTAATTAAGACATAAATTAAGCTATCAACCACTCACTCTTTCAAGTCACAGGAGTCAAGTTGAATTAGCTTGAAGAGGGTGTGATTTATGATTGTATAGATGCAGTCAAGGTGACAATAAGACTATAATGAAAGACTCGACTCCTTCGCGTGTCTCTTGTTTGCTTTTCTCAACAGCAGTCCGTCCGATCTACCTCAGACCTGATGTGTGTGTTGACGTAGATCCGAGAACATGCAGGACTGAGTTGTTTGGTTGTGTGATGTTCATCCTTTATTCATCTCAAAGAATAATAAAATACATTTTTAAAATACATTTTACGTTATCTATAACCAAGCTGGTCCTCGGGTTCACTTTGGAGATTTTGCTATATCATTTACCTGCAATGCGCACACGCACACGCGCACGCGCGCGCACACACACGCACACTTTTTTGGTGTGTATGCTCATAGCAGTTGCCTTTTCAAAACAGCAAGGTTTTGTGTAGTTGTGTGTAGATGGAGTCCGAGCGACAATAAGAGCATAATGAGAGACTCAGCTCTTGCGTGTGTGTGTGTGTGTGTGTGTGTGTGTGTGCACATGTTGTTTACTTTTCTGAACAACAGCTCATCCGATCCACCGCAGATTTGATGCGTGTCCCTGTGGACCAAGGACAGGCAGCATCGGGCATAAAGTTGTTTGGTTGTGCAGTCCTCCATATTTTTTATGTCAACAAAATCTACTATATAAGTTTATTTTTTATTCACAAATCTTGATTATAAATGTTGTTTGCATAAGCTGCTCTTTATTAAACTGGACTTATTGGCCTTACAAATTCACACGAGCACTGGCTCGTTCTTTCTTCTGGGCACATTAACGAGACTTTTCCCTCTTTTCTGCTTTACAACTAAATGTGGGCAGCCTGAATCAGCTGCGAATTTAATAACACGTTCTATTTATGCGGCGACAACTGACTTCAAGCACTCGCTCTTACTTTAAGCCAATAACAACCAGTTCTGAGCAGACACACTTTGAATGAGTGCTGCACTAGCCGAATACAAATAGCAGTCTGTCCTCGAGGATTATGCGGCTGTAGCAGCAAGGTAACTTTTTTTTTTTTTAATTTTATGTTAATGTTTAAACAGTTTGGTTAATTGACCAATAAACAAACAGAGGGCAAAAATCAAATGAAATTAAAATAAGTTCAAATTGAGCAGAAAGCACTAATGTTCTCAGCAAACTGGTTGCTTTGGAATTTCAATTATTTTGTCTTCCAAGGTTGTTTCATCCTGTTAAAATTAATACCTGACGAGGGCAACTTTGGTGAGTTTTATAGAGAGAGCAGAGTGGTCTAATTACATACATAATTAAACACTTAGATACACAATTTTCAAATATCATTTGTTTCAGAAAACAGGAAATGTGTTAACACCCTGACTTGAGATCACTTTAGAGTGTTGCTTTTATTTCATGTGTTAATCTATTATTTAGCGTCTTGTGTCGTACTGTTTTTCTTTATTGCTCGGTCTATTGTTATTAGACCAGCAGTTAAAAGAAGAAAGGGTGATATTTAAGAAGATCTTAGTAAAGTACAGTTGTAATGTGTAATGTTGTAATGAAAAAAATGTATTGATGTTTCTTTTACATATCCAGTGTTATAATGGATTTATTTTAGAATATGAAAAGTCGACTCCAGGATCAAGCTTCATGTTTTATAAAGAGGCTGATGAACAAGACACTAACAGAGCGTTTGTGCTGACGAACATGACTTTGGCTCGCTGGTGAAACTCGGGGCCTGAATGTTTGCACTGACTGACCTTCCAAAGACTAGAATGCCACAATGGTTGTGTTTGTATGTGTGCATGCACCAAAACCTTACTTGTGTCCTAGCTCGTGTGCTACAGTGAAAGCCAGTGGGAGGCCCGTGTCCTCGCTAATGCTGCAACTGCGATGCGGCTGACACATTCCTGCCACATGCGACAGACCCAGGGTTTCACAAGGTGTGTTGACGGATGCGCAGATGTCCTTTCTGTGGAAAGAAGACGACAGACTGTTGGTCACATATCAGAAGAAGGGGGTGAAGCAATGATTAAAAAAATAATAATAATGATCTTTTTATGACTGGAAGCATTCATTCATTCGAGACGTGAATGAATGAATAAAACGCATAACTGGATTTTACAGATGCATTACTTTCTACTCAGATCTTATATTTAAAAATATTTAACATATGCAGATAACAGCTCAAATTGCAAATCCAGCTTTTTAAAGCCAGGAGAGTGTTTTAACATTTTTGCTATCACGCTTCCTCCCCTTACAGTGACTTTGTGCTGTGTAGACACAGGTGGAGTATATGAGCTGCTGGTGCTCACACTACTACTTTACTTAGACAAGGTTCATTAGCTAAACAAGGTAGAAAAAGAGAGCAGATCATCTAGGGAACAAGAGGAGGACAGGGGAAATAGAAAAGATATCTGAGTGGTGGGATCATGAAAAGCACAAAAATATTTGCCTTCCTTAAGAATGGCTTCTTGAGAGGCACCATTTCTGATGAGGCTTCAGTGAACAGTAGATGGATCAATGTGAAAAGCCAGGTGCATCTCTCGGGTCCTGTGCCAGGTATTCGATTCATTTTTCCCTGTTTGTTCAGAACATGACTCTCAGATGCTGCTCTCCCGCTCTAGATATTCTTTTTAGGCCTGGCATGTCTTCTTTAATCTTCCACTTTTGTCCAGTTTCCTACATTTTTTAAGGACAAACTGCACATTATACAGAAATATGCCAAGTTTTTGGGTAACAGCTCTTCAGGAATCACCTTGATGTCGCAAAGATACTGTTTTATGTCTGTCAAACAGTGTTTTTTTCTTTTGGCATATTTCATAGATTTCAAGTAAAGAAATTGGAACAAACAATTTGTTTTTTGGCAGGTTGTTATTAAATTAGTGCCTAAAGATACAATTTAAAATTGGCTCTTTGCTAAGTTGTGTGAACACAACACTGGTTCATCCCTTGAGTTAAGTGCGTCACAGGTCATTATCAAGCGGCTTAACTAACAAAAAACATTCCTCTGGAATTGGTTAGGTACTGCTTGGAGGCAAACTACCAAAAAATGTGTGGGCACAGTACTTTTGTATCAGTGTCTTTTCCAAAAAGTCAAACTATTACTTCTGAACTGTGACAGTAGAGAAAGGTCGTGCAAACAAAATCTCAGTCATATCACAGACGTTTCAATCTTTGTTGAATGTTATTAACATTGAATTCTAAAGGGAACTAAATAATTTTAGTTTTAATAACAAAATCAGGCATTAGTTGGCCTTTTGTCATTGTCTTGAGAAAAAAAACATGATCTGATTTCAAGCTGCACAGCCCATAAACTGCAGGGCTGAGTAAAAGCAGTTCTCCCCGGCTACTTTTCATGTAAAAGCTGAGGCTGCGTCTTCTTGTTCCATTACGCCCTGCAATATCACAAATTGATGCCCTGTTGAATAATGCAGAAATGACTGTGGTACTCTTTGGTTCATTTTTGATATTCACCTTGCATTAGCTGTAAGGGTCGCCATAGACACTCGCTTTGCAAAACTGCAAGTATATAAATTTAGCAATATCCTAATCAGTGAGCCATAGGTTTAGTCACCATTGTGTGATCTCACGTTGCCACAGGGCTTAACAGACTAATTTAAACAGGAAACTTTATGATTGCCACTTGCACACATTACACGCATAGCTGGGCTTTGGGCTCAAACAGTAAAAAGATAAATGTACTACGAAGGAAAGCAGTGATTCGGGTGTATATGGTACCTGGTGAGCAGAACAGCGACATCGTGGTGGAGCGGGTGCTCGTCCCCTTTCATGTTGAGTTTCTTTTGCCACTTACAGAAGCTGTTTAAGCTGTTGTCAGCGTGGTGTGTAATCTTCAAGTCATCCTATCAGCGACATGTCACAATCAGATGAAGAGAAGAAAACATAACAGCAGACAAATCAATCATTAGCAGCTAATGCACTCTAAGTACACAAAATTGCCCGGAATAAGTGCACAGCACAGAGATAAATATGGCTATAAACTGAAATGGAAAATGAAATGGAAAACCAAATTGCACCATGACTTTCACATTCGATGAACATAAGGTGATAGCGTCCTTGTCAGTGTTGTATATCTCGGCTATTACTAAGAGTGAGTTTTGTAATTCTAACAGCTGTCAGCAAAACATTTCTGTACATTTTACTGCTTACAATCGGTTTGTACATACAGTACAGCAATCAGAATGACTAAGAAAACCCATTTTCATTTATTTATTGCATAGTTACAAATTGCAAGTATTGACTGCACCCAAGAACCTAAAAGCAAGTAATGTTTAGTAGTTTTCAGTCATTCTGAATGGGATTTCATTCATTAAATGGAAAGAAACCCAGAGAGTAGGTAAAACGGGTCATTCTGACCCACACTTGAAAAAAATAAGAAAACAAAACTGGTAAGGCTAACTTTCAGGACACCAAACTATTGAAGAATTTCTGTGGTCAGGAATTTTGGATTTGACTCGTTATATGGAAACTAATAAAACCACCCTTCATTAAAATACAGAAATCTGTTTTTACCTCGTCCTTCTCCAGCAGGATGAGTCGAACAACCACGATGTTGATTGCATTCCCAATACTGGCGTCTCTGTAGAGACCTGCAACCTGGAAGAAAACTTCTTTTAACACTATATTAAAATCAGGGCAATGGCTAGAAAAATAAACTTGACTGCTGGATTTTCATTTATTAAACACATTTATGCTCAAACTGACACCCTAGCTAAAGTATCAGCCTAGATCTTTTCAGTTAATAATTTGCAGTTTTCAATTCTTCATTTTCAACATGAATTATCATTTGCATTTTACAAATATTTATTTTTTTTAGAAACCTTTTTCCCCAGCCTTTCATTGTTTTTCTATGCGTGAGTCATGATCTGAATTTTCAAAGAGAGTCTGTGAGCGGGGACCTGTACAGCTTTTTAATACTTTTAACCTCTTAACATCAAAGCTTTCAAATCTATTTATTAAAGCTAGTCTCTTTAACTATCAAAAGCCTAAGTGCCCTGGTATTTAAAAAGAAATAATTATAGCCTGTAATTATGCACATTTAAAGCACAACACGTCAGTAGTTGTATGCACACAAACAGCAACACAACATCTGACGTAATTTTTCACCTTTGGGTTTCTGGTTTGCACTCAGGGAATATGGAGGATGTAAAAAGTATTACCCTAAACTCTTCTATTTTTTTCAAATATGGTTCCCTTGAGCACTTTGTCACAAGGTTATTTATGTCTAAAGTACCAAAATTTAAAGAGTTAGTCAGTAGCTTTAACAGTGGCACAGTCACCATGCAGCAAAAAGGCTCTGGGTTGGGGTAAAAGTGCTTTTAGTGCAAAAATAAAGAGCTGGATGAATGCATTAGTCAGTGTTCTTGTGGCCTAAAGATCTCTGAGTGCAAGTAGAAAAGCTGTATATAAATGCTAGCCTGTTTTCTATTCCCACAAGGAAATCCTTTACAAAGGGCAGAAAGCAGCTTGAGGTTAATTACTAGAGAACAGGGAAGGATCAATTGATTCGTGAAATCTGAAGTGAGAAGCGTGAAAGGAAATCACCTCAGATCTTTGTTGGTCAGTTGATTTGAGAAACCAGAAATGAGAAGCATGAAAGAAAAGCCTGAGAGGTGGAAGGAACTCGCTGGGATATAAAACTCTAAGCATCATTATCAACAGAGACTGATAGAGCAGCAGGTTTCAATGCATTTTTTGGGGAAGAGCATGAAAAGCTGCTTACAACAGGTTGGGATCGTGGCTCAAGAGTTGGGAGTTCGCCTTGTAATCGGAAGGTTGCCGGTTCGAGCCCCGGTTTGGACAGTCTCGGTCGTTGTGTCCTTGGGCAAGACACTTCACCCGTTGCCTACTGGTGGTGGTCAGAGGGCCCGGTGGCGCCAGTGTCCGGCAGCCTCGCTTCTGTCAGTGCACCCCAGGGTGGCTGTGGCTACAATGTAGCTTGCCATCACCAGTGTGTGAATGGGTGGATGACTGGATGTGTAAAGCGCTTTGGGGTCCTTAGGGACTAGTAAAGCGCTATATAAATACAGGCCATTTACCATTATAGCTTTAGCATTAAAAAGAAAGTGTGCTTCAGACAGTATGCTTTTCGGGACGTAGTACAAGTCTGGAACTGGGGTGTCTGAATTTGACCATTTGTTTCCTAACTTAGCACCAGGTTAGTTTTGCAGAGGTGAAGCAGGAATTCAACTCTTCCCTCTATGTTGCCTTATTTTCTTCCTCACATACAGCACCATGAATGCCTCTGAGAGGAGACCATTGAAACAAACGCTCGTGGTTTGTACAAAAATCACATTCTGCCCCCGTTTACAAAAAGGTCAACCTTTCTCCTGCCTTTGACTACCTCTCTTCTGAACAGCTATAAACAAGCATTCTGTAACTATGATTGTTTATTGGATGCGGTTCGTTCCACTGCTACACTGATCCAGGCTGCGAAAGTCATTGTAATTCAGATGGAAGTTCATTTTAAAGGATGGTTTTCTAGCAGTTTTACAGATAGACCTCGAAATATGCTGTTGATTATGGGAAGCATTTACGTTTGAGCAAACATAGTTAAAAGGGGGGAAAAAAAATTGAAACCTCATTTTATAATGTACTTTATTTTATACTTTCACCCCAGTTTAAATCCATTGGTGTGTTTTTTCGTACATGAATTGTGTATTCATGGTTCATACTATGTTGAAGAAAGGGCACACGTCGCTGGACATATTCCCTTCATTTTCTTGCTGCTGGACAAAATCCCTACAAACTAAACCTTCTGTACAAATCATAAAACTGAGGCACTTCAGACAGAACAACTCCGGCACCGAGAAAAGACTTCATTCATCAAAAATTATTTTTATAACCTCACTGTTGTGTCATTCAAAGATGTTTTCAGAGCATATAACAAACAACAGCAACATTTTTGTTAAACAACCTTATCATCATTTCATCTTTATCCACTTTTTCCTACTCTGTGACTTGTGAGTACAAACAAAGCTGTGGCTTTTTAAAGCTCATGCATTTTTCTCCACAACAATGTGCTGTTGTTGTAACGCGTTTCCCCTCGGCCCACAGAGTGCTGTGCTAATGTTTCGCTCGACTGTTAGCTCAAAGTGATACGAGGGTGTCATCCTTGTGAATACACAATGATTTTCCATTCGATTGACTGCGCTGTGGGTTATGTTTTTTTCATAAATCCTTACTCTGTGTGCACAGAAAACAGCAGAAGACAGAAAACATGAGCCTCTTGCATGGTTGACGATTTCAAGACATCGCTGGTGAGGAGACAATAGAGCAACTGGCGGATGAGGAAGATGATGACATTGTTTGAACGGTTTGTTTCCCTTGGAGCTCTGCAAGCTTGTTTTTGCAAAACTGAATTGTTTGGGCGTTTAAAGTTCAAAGCTATGTAAGCTGCTATGTAACACTGTAAAGAAATTTAAAAAAGAACCGCAGGAGGATGTGGATATTAATAGCTGCTTCCTCCTTGTATTACTGTGTGCTAGGTCAGTATATCTGTGTCCTTTTCTGTCAGTGAATTGCATTTCCTGATATTATGTCCTCTGATAGAACTTTCAGGTGCTGCGGTCTGAGTCAACATGGCACTAATTTGGAAAACTCCCTCATGCGCTACTCAGTAATAGTGAAGTCACCTTACTAGATCCATGAATACGATATAGTAATAACATTGATTGCAGAGTTGTGGCGTGACATGGTTGGAAAAAAGGAGAGAAAGAAAAAGTCTTTTTTATCATGATGCTTTAAAGAAAATCTGAAAATTTTCAATCAAAATGCACCAGATATTCATCCTTCAACTCTACATTAAAATAAATTCTAAAACTATTCCTCTGTGTGCTAATATTAGTTTAAATCTATCAAAACATTTGTCCAATAGTGCCTCCACAGTGTAGTTCTCCACATTCCCTGGAGACACAAATCCCCTTCCGAGTGAGATAAAATGGCCTAGTTGCGTCCTCCCTACTTACATTAATAACTGTTCATTTTTATAGATAGTTCCCCTTTTTCAGAGGTACAAAATGAATTGGTCGATTTATTGACAAGCAGTATTTGGTAGGACTGGGCGATATATATCGAGTTTTTAAATATATTGATATATTTTTTTGCGAGGTATGAGATATCGTTTATATTGATACAGTATATGTTACATTATAATTATACTTGCGGAGCCGCAAGTTTGCCTCTCTTTTGTCTCTACGCAACGTTACTCTGCCTCACTTCTCTCCTTCACTGAACACAACTCTCCCTCCCCCATCGCTTGCAGGCAACGATAAGATCTCACGGGCGCGTCACTGCAACTCCCCCTGGCTTCTGCTCCGCGGCTGCTGAGTGACCCCTCATCTGGGACTCTCCTCAGCTCTTTCTGGGGTAGTGGCACAGCTGCCCCTCTGTTGGTCTGGATGTCTGGAGTTTTGATCTCCTCCATACCTGCTTCATGCCCTGGAGGACGG